TTTTGGATACAGAGTCTCGCTCTGTCACCCAGGCTGGAGTGCAGTGGCATGATTTTGGCTCACTGCAACTTCCGCCTTCCAGGTTCAAGCAATTCTTCTGCCTCAGCCTCCCGAATAGCTGGGATTACAGACGTGTGCCGCCACAACTGACTAATGAATCCTGACCTCAAGTGATCTGCACGCCTTGGCCTCCCAAAGTGCTGGGATTACAGGTGTGAGCCACTGTGCCCAGGCTCAAAAGTTTTTATATGTAAGGCCATGTTAAAGGATGATTCACCAAAATGGATTGCACCTACTAAGTACTCAAATGAAGGGAAGACAAAGTCTCTACCTACAAGGCACTTAAAGTGTATTTCAGATGGGAATGTCTTAAGAACATGGAATGTTCTAAACATGGACTATCTAAAAAACAAAGTGAGGCTGGGCGTGGTGGCTCAGGCCTGTAATCTCACCACTTTGAGGGGCCGAGGCGGGCAGATCACCTGAGGTCGGGAGTTCGAGACCAGCCTGACCAACATGGAGAAACTCTGTCTCTACTAAAAATACAAAATTAGCCAGGTGTGGTGGCACATGCCTGTAATCCCAGCTACTCAGGAGGCTGAGGAAGGAGAATCACTTGAACCCAGGAGGTGGAGGTTGCAATGAGCCGAGATTGCACCATTGCACTCCAGCCTGGGCAACAAGAATGAAACTGTCTCAAAAATAAATAAATAAATACATAACAAAGTGAAATACATACAAGTCCTAATAATATGGTATAGATTGAAAAATTTCTGAGTAGTTCAAAATAATGGAAAGATTAACAAAATGAAATCATATTGAGAAAGAGTTCTTACAGAATAAAAGCTTCCATTTGAGCCTTGAGCAATGTATCAGATGAACTGATAGGGTAGTAAGACATTCTAGGGGAAAAAAAATTACAGGACTTAACAGGGTACATGTCAGAGGTCAGAGCAAAGGGGCTTATATAGTAAGGTAAGGAGAATTGACAGAGGTATAGAGATGGGGTATAGAGATAACTGGTTAAAGACAACTGCAAGATTATAAGCCTAAGAGTAACAGGATGGTACCACCACCACCACCAGAATGACAGAAATGAGGCAGTTGACAGGAAATACCATGGCCGGGCATGGTGGGTCATGCCTGTAATCCCAGCACTTTGGGAGGAGAGGAGGATCGCTTGAGTCCAGGAGTTTGAGACCAACCTGGGCAGCATAGCGAGACCCAGTCTTTAAAAAATAAATAAATAAAGAGGAGACACCAGTATATTAGTGAAGTGTATTTATTTAACATTTTAAATTTCAACTGATGGCAACATGTTATGTAGAAAGTCCTGAAAACAACTGACTAGGTCTAAAAAACAGAAAGATCTTCAATCTTGGGATAAGTTGCCAACACAGCATGACAGTAGATGTCACACTTAGGTTTGCAAAAAATATATGCATTTGGGGTTCATTTCAGTATTGGTCTAATTTAAATACATGTGAGATGAGCCTTAAAAATGTACTTTCCAGTACTTTTGGTATTTTTCATAAATATTCAGATAAGAAAGAAAGAAAATTCATCTCCTTTAGACAGACAGTTCAGGGTGAGACTGTCCATAATTTTAACTATCCCTTTCCTCCCAAGTCACATTTTTGTTAGGACTAAATATATCATACTCTTGGCAGTTCCCTTGCTTGCTTTCTCCCCATTCTGAGTTTGAATTTTCTGCATGACTGAGTTCACCTCCAAACTATGAAAAATAAAAGTTTTCTCACTATTTAATAGATGTGTATGATATGGTATCATTCAGATGATATATGTTTTTATAATGGGCGCTTGACTCATTCAGGGTCATGCTAGCAATAGACTTCCTTAAATGTGATTACTGAAAGCATGGCAATTCATATCATAATCTTCATTTTAAGAAATAAATAAGGTAAATGGCCACTTAAAACTCCTGCTGTGTTGGTCAGTCCTACTCCTCCACTTCAAGGTGCAAAATGGCTCACCTGTCAAAAGGTTCTCTCAAAACCTATTTTTATCAGAAATGAGCTCCTTATCACACAAGAGCAGCTAAGTAAATACCACAAAATACTATTTTCCCACATTTTAAAAGAGTGACTCGTCTAATGATCTGCAAAAAATCCAAGACCTTATTTTTAGGGGTAAAAAACAGAACTGTAGACCCAGAAGGCAGAATGCGGTCTTAAAAGGATTCTATGTAATCTGAAAATTCCAGGTATATTTCTATAACAGGATGAGAATTTTTAACCCAGCATAGCACAGTCCTTTTTATTTACATTTGCTAAGATTACATTGGTAAGATGAATATTTCCGATTTCAGGTTTGCCTAATGTAAGGGACTCACTACATTTATGGAGAAACTGAAAAATTAAAAAGTAGCTCCTAGAAGTCTCTCCTGTGCCAGCGAGAACTTGGTAAATGTTAGTTGATTAAGTATTAGTCAAGGATGACAAGGTGGACCCAAGGGACGCCAGAACCATTTCCGATGGGTAAGTGTGATTCAGCTACCGGCAGGGCGATCGCAGCGACGCTGGCGGCAAAGATCGGCGACTGCTCAAGAGGCCGCAGGCGACAGGGTGACTCGCCACTGTGCCCAACCATACAGTGCGCTCTGGGAGTCCCGGGTAAAGGGGGTCATTCCCGGGAGGGCTGCGGAGAGCAGGGCGGCCGGAGGAGCGGCTGGGGATCTCGCCGGGTCACCGGGGAGGGTAGACTACGTAGCACCGAGAGCTTTGAGAACCTGGGCTGAAGGCGGCGCTCGCCGTGAGAACTGACGCGGAGGTGCAGCTTAGCAGCCCTACGGTTGTTCTACCGCGTGTGCCCGGCGCTACCGCACGGGCTGACTCAGCTAGGCTGGGCCTGAGGCCGGCGCGCGGCAGAGGAATCCGCGGCGCCTCCCCGTGTACCCGGCCGGCTCGCGCACGCGGGGAGACACCGCCCCGCTTGCCTTCTGGCTCCCGGTGATTGGCGGTTATACGACGGTTGGGGAGCAGGGTCACGGACACTATTGGCTACAAACAACAGTCACTCAAAAAGTCAGGTAGGGGAGGGGCCTCCTCAGGGAGGGACAAGACTGGGAGGCTATTTCAAGGCCGTCAGACGCCATCTTTAGCTTGTTTTTGTTTACTTGCTTTTGTTCCCTGTTGCTCACAAACCTGTGTGTACACGATTATAAGCACAGTGGCCACAAATCGGCGTCACACGTTGGGTGGTGGCCGACTTTTAGTTACTGCTGGCCTCGGTTACATTTCTTTCACATGTCACCTGCAAATTAGTAGCTCATAGTTTTTAAGTTTCCGATACTAGGGGCCCCGAGGATTCCCAGGCAAAATCAACAGTTTAGTTTTGCTTTGCTTTGGAAGGCCAAGCCAATGATATATATGTGCGAGGAATTATCTCCTTTCTTACAAAAGAAAGAAAAAGCAGTAACTGGATATGACCCTACGTTCCTGGATGTAGAAATCAAATGGCCTAGGAAATCAGGGACACGGGCTCTGCACTGTTCTGGGAAGAGCTTCCTTACTTTTTGAGAAGCTAAAAAGTAAAGTAAAAAGTATATGTGATGACCTGTATTGATGTGGAAAAGAGCTAAAAAGGGTAAAACTCCATTAAAAATTGCCGTCACTGGCCGGGCGCGGTGGCTAACGCCTGTAATCCCAACACTTTGAGAGGCAGAGGCGGGCGGATCACCTAAGGTCAGGAGTTGGAGACCAGCCTGACCAACATGGTGAAACCCTGTCTCTACTAAAAATACAAAAATCAGCTGGGCCTGGTGGCACATGCCTGTAATCCCAGCTACTCGGGAGGCTGAGGCAGGAGAATTCCTTGAACCCAGGAGGCGAAGGTTGCAGTGAGCCAAGATGGCGCCATTGCACTCCAGCCTGGGCAACAAGAGCGAAACTCCGTTTAAAAAAAAACAAAAACAAAAAACTACTGCCGTGATCACAAAGGTCACTAGAATCTGACTAGATTTCAAAGAAATGCAGGCCTGAACTTGTGGAATAATCCACAGTCGAGCCAGTATTTATTAAGCACTGGTCTGACTTGAATTGTTAGAGAATAAAAATATACTCAGCACAAGTAAGAAACCCAGAAAGCCCAAACAGGGCCACATTTGTTACAAATTTGTACAAGTAATTTTATTGCAGTCGGTATTTGGGAGTCAAATACTGCTTGAAATAGAATAGGATGCTAGCTGTGTAATAGAAATGCATTATTATACAGAGGTTTTGTTGTAATGAAATTTAAATTCTACAGTAGATCCTTTCTTTTTAATCTCCTGGTTGTCACTGCATCTGTGACATTCCAGTTTCTCCCTCAGCACCCCATATACCTCCTATGCTTTCACTCCAATCTGCGAATACAAATTTGGATACAGATATTTTCCATATGACTTCTAATGAGGAGACAGTGATTCTGTAACAGAATGAAGTGAAAATAGGGCTCCTGTAACAGGAGGTTCTGCTCTGCGAGACTGTTTTTCTCTAATTCACATACTTTTTTTCTGTGACTCTTAGAAATGAGGAGAAGGCTTTCCATTCTAAAAATGCAACATGATAACCAAAAGGCATTTCTTATCCCTTCTATTATTTGCCTTTGCATCCTCTTGGCTCCCTATCACCATCACCATGAACAGTTTTTGAGAATCAGACTTGACTGGATTTTTTTTCCTGATATTTTGCCAGCTGTGGAGCTTTTCGAATAGATTCCAACCAATAAACGACCATTTTGTCAAAAAGCCAAGAAAGAACTTCCCTTCTGAACACACCAACCAAACCACACATAAAGGCCAAAATATACACAGCTGTACATTTAAGAACGTGAGACAATAAAAAGCAAAACCACTTAGGCAAAACAGTCACTGAAGGCTTTGAACCACAGATTCAATAAATTGCCTACTCTCATTTGCCACATGGACTATATACTCCTTGGCAATTATTTAATTATTCATTATTCTGATCCTTTAGGAGCAGAAAAATATAGTAAATGCACATAGAAAGTGCCTAAGTATGCTAAGCATAGGATTTCTTCTAAGCTCTGCTTTGCACACAAAATGTTTCGATCACATTTGGGAAGACAACAGAAAAAAAATTCACATCCTAGGGGATACTTTGCACACATAAAACCAGATATATTTATCACTTTTGAAAATAAAATCTGATATGGCACATATACACACATATTGTACATATACACAAATAACCCCAAATTATAACTTTACAAATTTGTTTCAAGAAACACACACACACATACACACAAATGTTCTAATGAAAATGTGTGTGAAAGACACACTGTAAGGTCTGTCCCCCTTCCCTAGGGAAATGAATGTCTCCATTATAATATCCCAATATTAACCTATTGGCCTTGGACAAGTGCCACATCCCAGCCAGTTGGTTTTGGTTCTGGGGAGTGGGTGTGTAAAAAGCACGCACACGGCGTTCTGAGGGAGCCTCAAATCTCTCTCTGCTTCCTTCGATGTTGCCTGTGGCAGAAATTTACATGATCCCTTCAGCCCGCTTAAAAAAATCTGTACTTCCCAAGCGGCTAAATTTTTAAAGTCCCTCAACCACAAAAATCTACCAGTTCTTAAAATGTGATTTGAAAAAAAAAACTATAAATTTGGCTGGAAACGGTTGTACACGGCCATCCTGCTTCTCAACTTCTTGGTATATTTAAAACCTTGACCAGGAAAAAGAAAGAGGAAGAGAGACAGAAAAAGAAATGGGGGAAAGAGCAAATTCCCCTTAGCAACAGTTTCCTCACCCCAGCACTGCTACAGATCGCTATTTTTAAAAATCTGAAAACACACACAAGATTAAGGAGGGAAAAAAAATGGAAAAAGGATACCCGAAGGTCGTATGGCTCTTTGTATTCGTGTGTGTGCAAAAAGGAGGACTCGCGGAGCCCGAGCCGGCAAGCCCCGCCCCTCCCCGGACGCC